AAAAAAAATATTCAAAGAATACAACAAAGCAAAAGAAGAAAGCAAAAGTTCTCTGAATTTCCACTACCTACAAAAAAACAAATGAACAAAAACCACAGTTGACATTTTGGTGTATATTTTTCCTAGACCTTCCTTCAAAAGAGTTTTAAAATTTTAGGTTACATAAGAATCACTGCAGGACTTGTTAAATTTCAGATTCTAACACCTCATTCTTGGCAATTGTAATTGCTTAAGTTTGAGATGGAGCCCAGGAATTTCCATTTCTAATATGCGCTGGAGGTGAACCTAATACACGTTGCTCTCATACTAATCTCTGAGAAATTCTGATCGATGCATATCCTTAACTCTTAATTACCTGGGGGGCTAATTTATTTATCTCCCCAACAGGGGTGAGTAATATATCATCAGCTGACTGGAACTGATTTCCTTTCCCACCAAGAGCAAAAGAGAAGACCATACACTAGACCTGTGCTGCGGGCACAGTGTGGGCTAGGAAGACAGAGACCAAACGTGGGTCTGAGCACCAGGGTCTAGCAATGCAACCAACAGTGATCAGTCCCTTCTAATTCCCCAGCCTCATCAGGAAGATAAGCAAGCCCAAGGCTATTCCCAATTATTATTCCTATTACAAAAATCTGCAATGATCACCCCTGTACATAAGTCATCATTACGCTCTACTACATTCCTTTCTCTAGATCTTTATAAATGTGGGTCAAACATTATAATTTAATCGTTAATAAATTCTACTAGATTTTTTTCTGAAAGCTTGTGGCAATAATACTTCCATCAACAAGATGTAAGAATGTTTGTGTCTGCACATCTTTGGTAACACTGAATGTTTTAACTACCGATATTGTTAAGTTTTGAAAATTTGACAAGAAAAAAATATGGTGCTTATCATTGTTATAATTTTTTAGTCTTTTTGACAAAACTTAGGCTGAGCATCTTTTCGTATGTGTATTGGCAACTTTTATTTAATCTATCAATTTTCTACTCAGAGCCATTCCTCATTTAGTTGTTTAATCATTTCTTATTCATGTTTGAAGCTCTTTTTTACATTAGGGATATTATCTCATTGCCTATAATATAGGTTATAAATATTTTCTTGCAGACTCTAGTTTGCTTTAATGTGTCGGCAACTATTAAAAAGTGTTTCCTTATTTATATTTATAGTCAAATCCTTTTATCCTTTGATTTATGATTTTTGGGGTCTCAGACTTAGCTAAGGACTTCCTAACTTTGAAAATATGACCCTAAATATTATATTTTTATAATTTTATTTTTACATTTAGATTATTAATTCATCTGGAATTTTATTTCTGTGTAGGGAGTGAAGGGAGGGTCTTTCTATGTTTTCACATAGGAAAATAGCAAATTATATAAACAGTGGATTAAATAAAGAATGCTTTTCTCACTGGTTAGAAATATTACTTTAGCTGTATATTAAGTTCCTATATATTCTTGAATATGTTTCTGAACTCTATTTGGTTTCATATTTGCATTAGTACCTTACTGGTTTATTTTTTCAGGTTTTGAGTCCTCTTTTTTCCTCTTGAAATATAATTGACATATAATATTGTATTAGTTTCAGATGTACAACCTAATGATCCAATATTTGTATATATTGCAAAATGATCACAATAAGTCCACTTAACATCTATCATCACATTGTTACAAATGTTTTTACTTGTGATGAGGACATTTAAGATCTACTCTCAATTAGCAACTTTCAAATATACAATAATATAGTATTAGTAACTATCATTAACTGTGGTCCTAATATTGTACCTCACTATTTTGAGTATAGTATGGGTTTATTCTAAAATAAATATAGAACATTTTTAGAATTCTAAAGTACTATGGTTTTCTGTCCAGATTTTCTTTGAACTCTTGGAACATTTATACTGCCAAATAAACTTTAAATCTTTTCATTCAATGTTTTAAAAAGGTGTTTTGGTTGGAAAGACATTACATATTAATTTAGTCAAAATTTGACAACTGTATAGATTTTCATGCCACCCTCCACTACCTCCCACAGGACAAGTGCCTTTTTTTTTTTTTTTACATTTATTCCAATCTATTTTTATAGATTTTTGCCATTGTTTGCAGAATATTTCCTATTTTTATTAACTTGTGATCATTAGTATAAAGAATTTTATCACATTCACTTTATCATGTTCTTTCTCTAGTGATTGTTGAGAAAGATGCCATAAAATTTTTCACTAGATTCAGATTTGTCAATTTCTCTATGAAATTCTGTCAACTTTTTCTTTATGCATTTTTACTTTATGTCACAGGCACGTAATAGTTTAGAACTGCCTTTTTTTTTTCGCACTAATAGTAGCTTGTTTTACTCTAATTTTATGACAACTCTGACATCTGGCAGGTTTCACCACCCACTTTTTTTTTAAATTCAGGAATGTCATGCACTTTGGTTCTTCTATGGAAATTTTAGAATTAGTTTGTCATGACCTTTAAAAAACCTCACTTCTCTATTTCAAAACTTACTACAAATCTTTGTAATCAGTGTGGTATTTGCATTAAGGATAGACATACATATAGATCAATGGAACAGAATTAAGTGTCCGGAAATATATCCCTACATTTATGATCAGTTCGCTTTTGACAAGGGTGACAAGGCAACTTAACAGGGAAAAAAATAATCATTTCAAAAAATGGCGCTGGAACAACTAGATATCCACATGCAAAAAAATGAAGTGGGTTCCCTTCCTTACAACATACATAAAAATTAACTCAAAATAGATCAGAGACCTAAATATAAAGTCAAAACTATAAAACTTTTAGAATAAAATCTAGGAGAAAGTCTTTGTGACTGCATTACACAAAGCTTTCTTAAAATGTGATACCAAAAGGACATGTGACAAAAGAAAATATAGACTGGACTTCATCAGGGTTAAAAATTTCGCATTTCAAAGGATACCATCAAGAAAATGAAAAGACAACCCACAGAGTGAGAGAAAATATTTGCAAATCATATATCTGATAAGGACCTTATATCCAGAATATATTTTTTAAAAACTCTTAAAACTCAATAATTAAAAGACAAGTAATTCAATTAAAATGAGTAAGGACTCTGAATAGGCATTCCTCCAAAGAAGCTATACAAATGACCAATTAGCATATGAAAAATGCTAAATATTATTAGCTATTACAAAAATGCAGGTAATAACAAGTGTTGGTGAGGATGCAGAGAAAATGAGATGGTGCAACTCCTCTGGAAAACCGTTTGGCAGTTTATCAAAATGTTAAACTATGAGGTATATACACAAGAGAAATAAAAGCCTATGCTCACACAACAATGGAAACAACTCATGTGTCTACCAACTGATGGATAAACAAAATGTGATTTATCCAGACAAATATTATGCTGAATGAAATAAGTCAGACAGAAAAAGTCAAGAACCATATTTCACTGATATGTGGGATATAAAACTGAAAGCAACAAAGGAACAAGACAAAACAAAGAAACAAAAACTCATAGAAATAGACAATAGTTTAGCAGTTACCAGAGGGTAAGGGGGAAGTGAGGGTGGTAGATGAGGGTAAATGGGATCAAATATATGGTGATGGAAGGAGAACTGACTCTGGGTGGTGAACACACAGTGTGATATATAGATGATGTATTACAGAATAGTACACCTGAAACTTATGTAACTTTACTAACCATTGTCACCCCAATAAACTTTAATTAAAAAAAAATACTATTCAGCAATAAACAATAACAAATCCTGCTACATGATACAATACGGCTGTATCTTGAAAATACCATTAAATGAGAGAAGCCTGTAACAAAAGACTATATATTATATGATCAAATTTATATGAAATGTCCAGGATAGGTAAATCTATTGACAGAAAATATATTAATGTATTCCTAGGGCTGAGAGCGGTGGTGGTTTGGGAATGGAGAATGAATGCTAATGATTATTAAGTTTATATTTGGAGTAACGAAAATGTTCTAATATTAGGTCATCATCATGGTCACAAAAAACTCCGTGAATATACTAAAAACCAAGGAACTGTACACACTGATAGGTAAATTTTATGGTATCTGAATGAAATCTCAATAAAGCTGTTTTAAACAAAACTTGATGGTATTTTGATTAAACTGCATTTAATTTGTAGCTCAACTAGGAAGAATTATTATCTCTACCCTAATGAATCTTTGTACCCAAAATCATGGTTACTGTGAAGAGTACAGATGTAAACTGTCACAACGGAACAATAATAATATATTTAGTAAAAGTTGGCTGTTGAGAAAAAGTGAGTAGTCATGTTCATGCTTTCATCTAAAAGCCGGGTAATGGTGGTTCAAAATAATGATTTAAACTTGAAGGGTGAAATATACAATCACAGGTATATTTACAGTTAAATAGTGAACACAAGAAAAATTCACAATAAAATAATAATATAATTTGCCAAAATCAGGAGGTAGGAGGAGAAACAATGAAGCTGGAGGAAGGAAGTAAAAGTATACTAACTTCATCATTACATATATGATGAAGTGGCAATAGATGCCATCCAAATGCCCTCTAAATGGAGGATTCATGGTATTATATAAAAACATAGCTATAAAAGTAACACACAGAAGAACAAAAATAGACTAATCTCCCAAATTATCAGAAGGAACACACAAACAAATCAAAGAAAAAAAAACACAAACAGAAAAACTTAAATATAATTATTATATTACACAAATGACAAGCTCAAAATATGTTATCATCAATAAGCTTGCCTACAGAAAGAAAAATATTTAGTACCAACAATATCATGTGTGTGTGAGATAGCTCTTTTAAAAATAACTTAGGTTGTAGGACAACAAGTAAAAGCATACCAGGTTGGCAAAAAATTGAAAAAGAAAAAACAAAGCAGCTATGGCAATCAGGGCAAAAAACATTAAATGAGATAAAAAATAGGATTTTATAATGAGAAAGGAAACAATCTGAAATGAAGATCTAGCAGTTATAAATATTTACAAAGTAGCATAAATTAAAAGCAATAATAATAGAAAAAGAAAAAGAAAATAAGAACAGTCTTAGAAGACTGATCTCTCTCAGTACTGGTAGATGAAATAAATTAAAATAATTAAGGATACAAAAGACCTAAAAAACTCAATAAGGCAGGTCTAATTGATTCATCTGTATCTGTATCTTTTACTATACCCTGAAAACAAAGAATCACCTTTTCATAGGCCCAAAGTCCTAAAAATTAACCATATATAGGCTATAAAGTAAATCTTAAAATATGTTAAAAATAAGAGAAATATTAGAGACAATAAACTCTAATCTCAATGCAATAAAACTATAACTTAATAATAAAGCCAACAACAACATAAAGATACTACTACCTGAATACTTAAAAATAATCTTTCTTAAACAATTTTTGCATCAAAGAGGAAATCAAACACAAATTGCAGAATAGCTATGAAATAAAATTTGAAAACTAACACTGAAGAAAACAACAACAACAAAAAAACAACAACAACAAAATAACACTAAAGATGCCTTGGCTCTTCTGGATATTAAAACCTATTCAAAGCCACAATATTTAAAATTGTGTCATTTTTCTATTTAAATGGAGGGGCAGAGTAAAGAAGGTAGAGGGTCCTACATACATAAGGGCATTTATTATCCTTTTATATATTAGTGGGAAAGACATGACTTATTCAATTGTGTAAGGACAATTTTCCATCCGGGAAAAACTAAGTTAATAATTTACACCAAAATAAATTATACACATTAAAGATTTAAAAGTTTATTATATATTTGCTATTAAATAACCATCAATATGCCAGAATAATCTTAAACTAGGGAAAGGTGTAACTGAAAACTTAGAATCTACAAAAGAACACACTGATAAACTTATTTTCACGGATTGTGGAAAATAAATTAGCACAGATGACAAATGAATAATTACTTTTGAACATAGACAACATTCTCATATCAATATCAAAAATAGTAAAAATCCAATAAATTTTTATTTCCTTAGGATAAATTATTAGATTTCTAAATCAAAAGAAATGTCTAGTTAAAAATCTCAGTATGTATTCCCCAAATATGTATGAACTTCTATTTCATAACCTTGTAATTATGTAATATTATTTTTCTATTTAAAAAAAAAATCTTCACTAATCTCTGGTTCAAAATATCTTTTTGTTAAACATATTTTAGCTGATGCAATTCACTAGCAATCTCTATTACTAATGAAAATACATGGTTTCAATTTTTTTTGCTATTTATGTTTATTCTTTGATGAATTTTGTGTCAGATATTTGAATCACTAGGTCATCCTCCACTTATACTTAATCTACTTTGTGTCCCTTTAAAAGCATTTAATTGTTTGCTGACCATTTTAAAACACAATGGCATATTTTCTGGTTTTTTTATAGCTTACAATTTTTCTATTTTTTTTTTTAGGTGATCATAATGTACTTTTACCCTAGTAAGTATCTAATGATGCTTTAATATTCGTCTTTAGATAAACAATGAAATAATACACAATAATCAAATTAAAATAATCATTCCATACTAAACTTACATCAGATAAATCCGAGATTCTTGACTTTGGTCTAAGATCACTGTCTTTCTTTGAATTCCCTGTAGTGTTAAAATATACATAATTTCGAATTGTTGATGATAATAATCCATCAGTCCACTCCATAGTATTAGGATCCAGGTGTCCATATAGTTCATCAAGAGTAATACACTTTGGATTTAACACACAAATATCTACTCTTCCTTTTATTCCTGAAATCTGAGAAAAAAACAGTGTGGTTTTTAAAGACTTTAACTATGGTACAATTATTTAATTTTTTGCATTGTTATTACCAAAGAGTTTTAGGAGAGGTCTTTCACTCCAAAGAAAGATTCTGTATAAAGGTAGTAATTTGTAAGGAACAGCAAAAATTGATGTATTAAAATGAGCCATAATATTCAAATCTTTAGTTTTTAAAATTCTAGTTATTATAAATAATATTCCTAGAAAAATAAAGAAAAAAAATCCCACTGTGCCTAATCCAGGAACACACTGAATGAGCGGGTATGTGCTGTGTCTGGAACCAGGGTTGGATGTAGAGGTGAGAGAGAGTAAGACATAGTTCTAAGCTTTAGGTCAGCATCTGCACTCAAGCAGGCCTTACTTGCAACATTCTCACCTGTCCGGGGGCTGCCTGAACAACTGGGGTCTGTTCCACCTATCTCAGATCTCAGGTAGCAAAAGTGGCAGGCACGTCTTATAAAAACTGCAGGAAGACTATAGACCCAAAGGAACCTAAGACAAGAGATTGTGGCTGGAGACCCTAGGAGAGAAGGTAGGATAGGAATCCTTGGGAAATTACGACATTCAAAAGCAGTTATATATCAGAGAAATATACACGGAATATATACAGAGGAAAGCCACACACAGACCCAGTCTAGATGAATGTACCAAAACGACCTGAGAAGACCCTAAACTTTCATCTCAGGCTGATCCTTAGGTTCAGAGTAGGCCCAGCTAATCAGTGAAGAACTATCCCAGCACAGAGCAAGCCTGTAAAGGCTGGGAAAGGTGGCTTGTTTTTACAAATGCCCAATTTTCAACAAATAATCTTATGCCTACAAAGAAACATGAAAACATGGTCCATTCAAAGGACAAAATAAATTGAGAGAAACCATCCTTGAGGAAACTCAGGCATTGGACATACTAGACATAAGTCTTTAAATTAACTGTCTTAAATTATTCTCAGAGAGATAAAGAAAACCAGGGCCAAAGAACTAAACAAAATGAGAAAATATTTGCAAATCATAGATCTGATAAGGATTTTTTATGCTGACTATATATATAATATTATATATATATATATATATATATATATATATATATATATAAAAACTCTTCCAACTCTACAACAAAAAAACAAACAATCCAATTTAAAAATGGACAAAAGATGTGAATAGATATTCCTCCAAAGGAGATATACAAATGGCCAACACATGAAAAGGTAGTCAAAATCCATTAGCCATTAAGGAAATGAAAATAAAAACCGCTATGAGATATCACTTCACACTCTCTAGAATGGAGAAAACAAGTATTGATGAGGATGTAGACACATTGCCAGTGATAATTTAAAGTGGTGCAGCTGCTCTGGAGAACAGTTTGGTGCTTCCTCATAAAGTTAAACACAGAATTACCACATGACCTAGCAATTTCACTCATAGGTATAAATCCAAGAGAAAAGAAAACACGTCTGCTTAAAAACTTTAAGAGTGTTTTACAGCGGCATTATTCATAATAGCTAAAAGGGGAAACGACCCAAAGATCCATCAAAGCAGGAATGAACAAACTGTGATGAAAGGATAAACAAACACTCCATACAATGAAATACTATTCAGCCATAAAATGAAATGAAGTACTGATATATGCTACAACTCGGATAAACCTCAAAAATCATGCTAAGTGAAAGCAATCAGACACAAGAAGTCACGTATTTTATAATTCCTTTTATATGAAATACCCTAAATAGACAAATCCAGAGACAGAAACCCAATCAGTGGTTCCAGGAAAAGAAAAGAGAAGGTAATAGGCAAAGATTTCTTAATGGGTAGGGGATGTTCTCCTGGGATGATGAAAAGGTTTTGAAACTAGAGAGAGATGGAAATTGCACAACATTGTGAATGTCCTAAATGTTACTGATTTGTACAGCTTAAAACGGCAAATTATATGATACGTAAATTTCACCTCAATTTCACCTTTCAATACATGGCAAAATTATACCCCACCACAAAGCAATCCCATTCCTGGGTAGGCATTTTTAAAGTATATATACATATATATGAGCATAGAGTAAAAACTTTAGAGAGGGTTCCTATGATGAAGAGGGAATGGAAGTGAAGGTTAGGAGATAAAATTGAACTAAACTAAAATAAAATAAAGGTTTTCAACAGACCAGTTAGGAGAAAGTCATGAACTAAGGAGAAAGATAAAAGCAATTCCATTACCTAAGGTTCTGCCATCAGCCTACATATTTTTGTTATAATTATATATTTTTTAAAACCCAATTTAAAAATATTAAACATGAGAGAATTCTTAATTATAGTATAGTCACATATACAGAATACAGTTATTGGAATGAAGTTTTTAATGACATGGGGTTAATTCTTAGCATATAATACTAGGTGAAAATGCTAACATTAGAAAAATTGAGATAATTTATACACAGTACTACCTTAATTATTTCAAAACATATTTAATATAGGAAAAAGAATAAAAGAAAATACAGCAAAATTATTTGCAGTTATTCTAAGTAATTATTTCTTTATATTTTTGCATTTTCCAAATTTCTCACAATTGTACATACTTCTTTTGTAATTAAGAAAACTGCTTTTAATAAAACAAATTCTTGCCCACAGGGTTGTTTTGAGGATTAAATGAGATAACTCAAGTAAAAATTCAATATTTGGTCCATATTTAATAAAACATAAATATTAGTTATTATTATTACTGTCATAATTCACCTTTCATTAATTACAATAATTACTTAAGAACTAGTTAAGATCTGTTGATAAGGGGAGTTAAGAAAGAGAAAACAATAAAGGATTATGCACTGCCACGTGAATGAGTTTGAAGGTGCACACCAACTGAAAAGAAAAAGTCCACATCACTGTCTAAGGCTTTTGGAATAATTACCATCAGTGAATCTGTAAATATGACAACTGAAGCACAAAACATGTATTGGAGTCTAACTTTGTATTGAATAAAAATATATCATGAAAAAGTAGGAGTTACTCTAGGAATTCAAGGACAATTTAACATTAGTAAATCTATCAACATAGCTAAGTATATTAACCAGTTAAATATATAAAATAGATGCTAAAAATCATTTCATAAATTCTAGGAGTCAAAACCCAAAGTATAACGAGAATAGAAGAAAATTTCAAAAGTATGATAAAGAATATTTATTGTAGACTAAGAGCAAACATCATATTAAATGCAGAAATATTAACTGCATTCCAGATAATGTAAGAAACAAGATATTATAGTTAATATAGTCTTGGAGGGTTAATCAATGCAATAAGAATATAAGTTATATAAATATTAGAAAAGAGACAAAATTATATTCATTTGAAGATGATTCAATTGATTACCTAAAAATAATTAGAATTTACCAGTCCATTAAGTAAGGTGACTAAATACAAAATAAACACACAAAAGCACTTTTATACTAGCAATTACCAGTTTGAGATTAAAAAAAAAAATCCCATTCACTACAATGATTTCCTGATTACAAAATCCCTAACAATCAATTTAACAAGTAAAAAACATACTTATGCAAAAAGGACATAAAATGTAACTTAAATATAAAATAAGATCTCAACAAATAGAGAAATATTTTGTTTTGTAGAACATTTACCTGGGAAAGAGAGTCTCTTTCTTCGATCAATAATAAACTTTCATTTGGTAATAATATTAATGCTCTTCCTAAAATTCTTCTGACTGTCGTCTTTCCTCCACCTGTTGGGCCCACTAACATCACACCAACACAAGCCTGAAACAAAATTGCAGGTTTATGGTTTAATTCTGGTTTACTAACAGTTCAGCTAAGCTGAAACATGAAGGTTATTTACAAATACATCTCTAACTATATCCACCGATCCTTCCTTCAAATTATTGCTCAATCCATTGTAATCCATTGTTTTTATTGACTAGGCTAATGTTAAAATTACCAGGAACCTCCAAATTTTAAAATTAAAAGAATAATGTCCAATTCTTGATATTTGACTATTTTATCTCACTTTCCAATTCTCCTTTATTCCTGTACCTTTCTGTACAATTGACTTCTGTAATAAGATTTATCTGGGCTTTGCTTTTCTCTTTTGAGTTCTGACTGCTGGCTCAATGGAGATCTTGATACACAGAGATTCCCATAAATGCCTTGGTTTGGTTTATGATGGTTCAGCTAAGCTGAAGCCTAGAGGCTCTTGCTGGTCAGCCTCAGCCAGCTACGAAGAACCAACAGCGGACTTGTTCGTTCTGCTCACTGGGAAGAACTCTGACCCTTGGTTTTGCCGTGGCCTAGTTAATTGGGCTGCCACTTGGAAAATTACATACTAGAAGATTAAAGATAACTCTCTTTGGGGCTGTGAACTGTGGGAACAAATGGTGGCTGGTGATCAAACCATGTGATCAGGGCCCATGGTAAGGACCCATTCTTTGGTGAGATGACCCAGAATCAAGCTGACTGAGCCTGCCCTTCCCAGACTGCCATGACCGCTGTCTGGATTCAACATCCTACTGGATGTGGCGACATGGTCACTATTATAGGCCACATAAATGAAAGCGTGTGTGTTCATGGCGCAGGGGCTATTACTGCATTCCAGACTTGTGACTCCTGACAAAAGCTGACACAGTTATCTCAAAGTGGGGAAGCCATACTGCACAGGGTATGAATGAACCCCAAATACTCCTGGAAGATACTACATCAGATCTTTAATCCCCTCTCTCGGGGCTATCAGTGGTGCCTCCCTGATACAGACACTATTTCAAGTTATGGCGTTGCTGTTCCAGCCCAATCAGCTAACTCCAGCCATAGAAATATGTCTCTTGAAACTAATGTGTATCATGTGTTTGGATGTCTAGACCATCTGTAATCTGACAATGGTAGACCTTTCATCACAAGTCACTCAACAGTGAGCTGATGGTCAAGTTATTTCATGAACTTTCCACAGGCATCCAGCATTGCTGAGCATCGGAACAGCTTTCTCAAAAATGGACTCAAAAAGATCTCAGAGTTTATCTCCCTTACCTTCTCTTTCTCCACATACCTTACCAAGGAAGTTTGGGCATTAAATGTGGGTGTACAAGGGAAGGGATCATTTCCTTTCCTCGCCTTCCTGGGTAATTATCAGCATGGGCGAGATGGGATATTACATTGACCTATTTTGAAAATATGGGATTCAGTCCTGACCATTCCTGGCCACGGCACTTCTTTCTTTCCCCTACTGACAACCCCAGGCCATCCTGATTGGCACACATTCCAAAATGGGGCCTAAGGGATTCAAATTTCATTCTGGTTCAACTACCTGAGTTCTCTTGGACTGACATGGTCTTAGATCATAACGTCCTTTGTGACTCCTTGTCTGAGCACACTGCCTGCTGAGACCTTCTGTAGTGGCCCATGCAGGCCTAAGTCGGGGATATAATGGTTCACTCTAAGTTTTATAAAAATGGCTTTGTCCCTCTTATATCTAGCCCTTCCGGATGAAAGGTCTGGGTCCACATAGGGGATGTTTGGAAAATAATTATGGTTAAAATTACTGAAATAAGACATACCAATTTTGTGGCTGTGCAAGAACAGCAAAACCCCAGACACCTAGGGAGGAAACACCTCAGCGCATGGAATACACAGGGAGTGAGGAATATTGCAGATCTTCTGTCTTTCAGAACGCTCTCTCTAACCTTCCTCACGAAGGAAAATGCCCTTGTGTGGATATCCCAAACAACTGCAGGAACCTTTAACTGGCCGCTGTGACTGCCATCCCCTGCCATATGGAACTGACCATGATTTAACTGTCACTCCCCTTAACTTTATTGAGAGGTCTATAAGAAACAGTAGGGGGTGGCCTCAGCTCTTGCACCCCTCCAGGCAAAATATTGGGTTGTCGGAAAAGTCATGACCCATTTTTGCAAAGAAAAACATAGAAAAAATACGTCATGACTTTTCCGACAACCCAATACTTGTCAACACGTCAAGATATCTTGGATATCTTCTCTATCACTATCTCCATTGCTCACTTATTCCATGGGTCAGACAAATGCCAGCTGGCTGATGATATGGCAACTAGGTTAGATTGGACTGATTGTTTTCAAACAGTCACTCCAAAACAAAAAAAGAATTAGACTTAATTATTAGAACTGAATGGAGAACCCACGTTGGAGCCCTGTCAACTTGTATCTCCTCTCCCTCTTGAACTGATGTAGGTCTCATTTAGGGAACCCAACCACTAAGATAAACACTTTCTTTCCAAGGGTACCAAGTGTACCCTTAGGACTGTACTTCTTATGGAGAGGCCAGGCCTTAACTTGCCTCCCTTCCCAAAACAACACAGCTTGAACCTTAGAGGTGGTTATAAGAGTGTTAAAAATTCAGGGTTCAAGGAAACATCACTGTGTTCCTGAAAGGCATTCAGATCAGTTTCAACTCACTGGCAAGAATTGTTTTAAATGGAAGAATTGAACTAGACACTTTATCCTTGTGGGCCAAGGCAAGTCTGTGCAAGTGATAATCTTGCTGCTTGCTGTACCAGGATTAATGCTTCAGACTAAGACATAGAGTCAGAAAAGAAACTGAAGGAGAAACCCACCTGGCTTTGTAGGGTACATTCTAACAGCTTATCGGATTTGTTCAGCTTTTTGGACCTGGGACCTTGGGGTGGGCATGGCTGAAATTAATATTTTAGGTTCGCCTCATCCTGTTTATAGTCCTATTGATAAAAGCTTTAATTACATGCTGTGTGAGATAAACAGAATGGATGTGGTCTCAGCCCCTGTCAGTCAGATTAATCAGAGAGGTCAGCAGAGTGGAATACTCAAGGAAAATTCACCAGAGACCAAGACAGTGTATAAACAAGGGATGGGTATTGGTGGGAGACGACTTCTTATAGGTCTCTGACATTTGCACATGCCTCTGAGTGGAAGTATTGACAGCTTTGTTTAGGACTACCTTTTCAAGGATGTTCACATAGCAAACAATTTTGGTAGAGACAGCGTTCCCTATCAGGATGGTGGACAGATTTATCTGCTGTTCCAATAGAAAAGATAGTATCTCTTTCAGGAGCAAAGCCTAGGAATGTTTGGTGGTAGTAAGTGCCCTTTTAGATTGGAGGGTTCCTAAGCTTGGGGTTCTTCTCCTGAAAAAAAAAAAACCATGGGTGCAGATGTCACCTGACCGTGTGTCACCCTATGCAAATTAAGTCTTGGGAAAATGGCTACTGCTATTGCTGTAAGTAATAAGCTGTTCTTTTCAGACACAGGAGTCTAACATTTTCTGCCACTATAAAACTTTGGCAAGCTAACTTATTAGCTTGCAAGCAGGGTAAAATCTTGACAAGAATACTCATAGAGGAAAAGATGTGACATCATAAAATGAAAAATCTCCTCATAATTATCAATTCAATTCTACCCCAATCAAAATCCAAACAGGATTTTTTTTTTAGTGGAAGTCAATGGACTGATGATCCAAGAATCTTAAAAATAACTAAGATGGAAGATTATGATGGGGCTTAGGACACACTACCTCAAAATATGCCACCTTGGCATATTAAATGTATTAAGCTGAATACATTTTTTTTTTAAATGGCAGTAGCATCAAGGTCACTCTGATGTCCCCCACCTCATCTTCCTTTCCTGAAACAGGTCATAAAAATCCATGTGAAATATACTTTCCTTGTATCAGGAATAAAGAAGACCTTCTTATCACCAGAGACAGGGAAGTTGGGGCTGAGGAGGCTGTACAAATAAACCTTATTAAACCAACCCTAATCTTCCTAGTTATTTCTTCACTATACCCCTTGTCCAAAACCGTGTGACTTGTCAATTCATCACAAATTTGTTATTTATCTAAAAGGTAAAAAAGCTTCCTGTTATGGTCACTCTTTGGGTCTTCATTCTTTTGTGAAGGCTCCCATCCATGTACATGTAAAAATTAAATAATATTTGTATGCTTTTCTCCTGTTAATCTGTATACGTTCAGTTTAATCTTCAGATCCAGCCAAGGACCCCAAGAGGGTCAAGGATAACTTTTTCCTCCCTTACAATTGGTACCACCAGATATAAGGACCTATTATAAAGCTATGGTAATGAAGACTGTGTGGTATTGTTAAAGATATAATATAGACCCCAAAAAAATCAATAAAGAAATCCACACTATTAGACATGAAAACTTGGTACATGACAGAAATAGAAACAGCAAATCAGTGAGAAAAAGTCTGAGGAAAATTGGTTATCCATCTGGGAAAAATAGATCCCTACTAGATACCTTAAGGAAAAATAAATTCCAGACAACTTAAATTGGGAAATGCAAATATCTAAAACTTTTAGGAAAAAAATATAGAAAATATCTTTTTTTTTTACAATTTTTTTATAACAAGGTTCCAATTATTTAAAAAAATCCAAAAACTTAAGGTATCCAAAATACCTGCAAGTATTTTCTGAGGGAACTACTCAGCTAGCCTATGGTATTAATAAGCACAAGGTGGTTTTAAAGAACTGCATGTAGATACCTTTCAAATGAACATTTTACATAAAATTTAGTTTACTATACACCCAAATAGGGCTTCTCAAAGGGCAGCACCATTGCTTGGCTGAGGGAGTGGAAACATATCATATCTTAGGGGCTTTTCAAAATCCAACACTATCCACCCCTGGAAAAACATTCTAATACACAGACCAGGGTCCAGCACCCCCATCCTTAGCCCAACCCCCCCGTGTCGCCCTGGAGACTCTCCCTCCAGCCACAGCACCAGCAGCAGCAGTGGAAACCGAGGGGAAACCAGTCAGGGCCGGCGGCGGGTGGCTAGGAGATGCCTGAACTTTTAAAGAAAGCTCTGCTGTCTACTGCCCAAGAAGGGGCACTGTAGATGCAATAAGGTAAAGCCTTAGGTGTTGGATGCCAGGGCAAGGGAGCTCAAGCCAGGCTCCCCGCATTTTAAATGCCGAGCTGGACAACGCTGAGGTCCAAGGAGCCCAGCCACATGGTGGGGAGACTGGCCAGAGGCGGGACGGAAACTGCAGGTGGCAGCCGTGCAAGAGGACTTGGGCCAGCGCACGACGGAGGTGTGCAAAGTGCCATGGCGTTCTCTGCACGAGAGAGGCCGCCCTCGCTGCTGGGTGAAACTTCAGAAACTGGACTGTTTTTCCTGGGGCCCTTCTTCCCTCCCCTGCTCTGCGGGAAGGGGATGGTTCTTATTAAAGTACTTGGTTTTCCAAACCTTTCAACAAATGTCTTACTTCAGAAAGATGTGTTGGGTGCTTTTGTTTTGCGTCCTCCAGTTTGAGGAGCATGTAGTGAGGTTGTACTTGGACTTCATTGGAACAACTCTGCACCTTTGCACGTTGTGCCCTCTTGGTCTTCTGTTCCCTTGGCTTTGAACCCTCAGCTCCCTTGCCCATTTCTCCTTTAGGCCAGGATGGTGTTGCCTGCTCACATGGCACACACACTACCTTCTTCCTGTGGGTCTCACGAAGCCCTTACGTAGCCAGTTTGCGAACTCTGCTCCAGGGACCCAGGAATCCACCAAAATGTAGAGCCAGACATGTGGGGCCATTAACTGGGTGCCATCATATATCGCCTCCTTCCAAATGTTCTACAGATTGCTTTTTCTGATATACTGGGCTTTTGGGGTTCTTTAGTTCACTTTTCAGTTTTGTAGTTTAAGACGTTTCTGAGACTGGCCAGCAATCTCCTCTGGAGCAAAATGCCACACACTGTGGAATCTGTTGCAGTTAAAATTTACGGGGGGATATCTTGGCTGCAGAGGGCCTCCCCAGAGAGGCAAAGGGTCCCAGTCCCACGCCAGACTCCCCAGCCCAGGGTTCCAGTGCTGGGGAGAGAAACCCCCATAATTTCTGGCTGTGAAAACCAGCAGAGATTGTGGCTAAGTGAGACAGAGGGCAACTGGAGTCCCAGGTATTCGTTACTCTTAAAAGACCCACACATGGACTTGCTGACTGATGGACTCACTCACTCCAAGCTCCAGTGCTGGGACAGCAGCTAGAAAGGCACCAGGGACATACGAGGAGCAATTGAATTGTCTGGCCTCAGGATTAGGGCTGGAGGGGCAGCTTTCTCACAGACCAAAAAGATCTTTATGAGACAGGATAGAAAAGATTTCTAAAAATAGGAACAAAAGAATAAACCATAAAAAAACCCCATCAACCATTTTACTGCATTAGCAATATCTCCTGCCACCTGAACACCATGAACGTTTCTAAAAAGCCAAGAATAATTGCAATGCATACAAGCAATAAAGAAATATGATATAAAAATGCATAATCAGGGGCCAGCCGAGTGGCATGTTGGTTAAGAGTTGGCTTGGGATGCCAGCTCTGAGCAGCAGGACCCCGGTTCGGATCCCACATGAGGGCCAGTGACACTGCACGCTCTACAGCTAAGATGGAGAACAACAGCTCGACCTTTTACACTTTTATAGGATTTTTAAATTACGTATTAAGGGGATAAAGGTGGAAAGAATTAATTTGTTAAGAGTTAAAGTGAGGGTCAAATAACAAAGTCTAGGTAAACAGTTAATCAATAAACTACTTTACTTTGAACAACATGACAGCAGCTCTCTTTTTATGATCTTTTTATGATCAATTTATCCTTGATCATACCTATTAAAATCCAGGAGCAAAGAATTGGTAACATGTCATTCTATATTTACCTGAAGTTGATTATGAAACTGTATGATTTTTTCTTTCTGAGCTGGCCATTGTTGTAAGCCCAAATGCTGTGTTGCAATAGATATTGCTTTCTAAAAGAAAAAAGTACATTGATTTAAAATGCATTGCAAATTAAACTCTTGATATATAATCCTACAAAAGTCTCTTTTAACTAAGTACTAAATACTGTACTTTAAGATTGTAGCTCTTCATTTTTTAGTTTACCAACCTGAGAGTAATGAAAACTTACTTTCCACCCAAAATACAATCACCCAAATTTTATGTTCACAGACCCACTAGCAAATTCATAGACACTTCCTAAATTTAAAAACTCATGCTTTAAGATGTATTTAAGAACTAGCTGTTGTGGGACTCAGATCACAGGTTAGCCTCTCCCAGGCACCTCCAAGCCCAGCACAAGTGGCAACCATCTGCAGATCACTTTGTAGCTCATACCAAGTGGCCTTAGGCAGGGCATAGGCAGCAGCTGACCTTGGCCTGCACCAGAGCTCCTCCCCTGCAAGAGGCCCCCAAACCAACATACTGATGGCCAGTTTCAGACCACTTGGAACACCATCCAACGACCTCCACAAAAGACACACCCAAAGAGTAAGTAGACCAGGCAGGCGCCACAGCCCTGCTGAAGCAAATCCTGCTCCGTAGGGTCAGCTGCTGCACAGCAGCTCCTCCACTGTAGTCATGGCCAGTCCTCACAACTAATCAGCCTGAGGGTCAATCCCTCCCATTGATGTGCAAGCAGCAATCAAGGCTCAACTACAACAAGAGGGCACACACAATCCACACAAGGGACACACCTAGAGCACTCAGCTCAGGTGACCAAGGAGACTGTGCCGCTGAGCTCCACATCCCCATAGACACCTACTATAGAAGGCCACTCTACTAAGACAGGAAAATATAGCAGCTCTACTTAACACATGGAAACAAACACAGGAAATCAGCCAAA